TCATAATTTATACTAAATATCTGATCTTGCTCTTTATTTCAAGGTTCCAAGAACCAAAAGTCCAAAACTAATATCAAACCTTGAAATAAGAACAAAAATTGAAAAAACGTCTCATCTTTGGACTAAACTCGGTCAAATTTAGAAAAAAGAAGGACCAATTTTGTAATTTATTCTAAACATCTAAAATTTTCATTCCTTACATCAAATTCATGGACTGAAACCGATCCAAAAACAATGACCAAAACTGAAAAAGATTCCAATTTTGGACTAAACATAGTAAACATCAGAAAGAACAAGGACCATTTTTGTAATTTACTCTAAATACTAACAAGATGAAATTCTTCCCAATACAGGGGACCTGGTGTGGTTATACTTATTCTATCATGGATAATAACGTTATACACACTTTGGCAAATGGTTGAAATGCATGAAATGATACCTGGAAAACGGTTTGATAGATACCATGAATTAGGTCAAGAAGCTTTTGGTGAAAAACTCGGTTTATATATCGTTGTTCCCCAACAGTTGATTTGTGAAGTGGGTGTGGATATAGTTTATATGGTGACAGGTGGCGTGTCTATAAGGAAAATCCACAAAACTCTTTGTGAAGAGTGCAAAGAATTCAAAACAACATATTTCATTATGATATTTGCTTCTATTCATTTTGTGTTGTCTCACCTTCCAAATTTCAACTCCATTTCTGGCGTCTCATTGGCTGCTGCTGTCATGTCTTTAACGTGAGTTTTTACATCTTTACCCTTGTCAGTTTTCATTAACTAAAATGGTATTCAAGATTTATAATTTCAAGGTTTTGTATCTATTTTGGTTATTCATATGAAACCTTGAAATAAGGACCAAAACTGAAAAAGGTTAAAACTTTGTACTAAACATGGTAACAATCAGAAAGCATGGACCATTTTTGTAACTTAATTTAATTTAAACTGTTCTTGAAAAATAGTTACTTGAATCTGGTCCTTATTTTAAGGGTTTCAAAGACAAAAATCGATACGAAACCTTGATATTAGGACAAAAAGTGCAAATGGTTTTAATTATGGTAAAAATATAAAGCACAAGGACTGTTTTGTAATTTACTCTAATTTAAAGTGTTATGGCCAGATATTTACTAGATTTTGGTCCTTATTTCAAAGTTCCAGTCTTCCAGAAACTTTGAAATAATGACCAAAATTGAAAGAAAAAAAATGTCTCAATTTTGAACTGAACACGGTAAAAATCAGAAAGCACATAGACCATTTTGTAATTCATTCTAATTTTAACTCGATTTTGATCCTTGTTTCAAGGTTCCAAAGACCAAAAATTGATATTAAACCATGAAAAACGACCAAAATTGAAAAAGGTTTCAATTTTGGACTAACAACGGTAAAAATCAGAAAGCACAAGGACCTTTTTTGTAATTTACTCTGACTTACAGTGTTATTGCCAAACACCTCGTCGATTTTGGTCCTTATTTCACAGTTCCAGATACCAAAACTGATATGAAACCTTGAAATAAGGACCAAACTGAAAAAGGTTTCAGTTTTGGACTAAACACAGTGAAAATCAGAAAGCACAAGAACCATATTCATAACTTTCTCTATTTTCAAGTGTTCTTGCTAAGCCAATTATTTGATTTGGTCCGTATATAAAAGTTTCAGAGACAAAAATCGACACCATAACTAAAAAAACATTTTTGTTTTGGACTAAACAAGTTAAAAATCCGAAAACACAGGGGCCATTTTTGTAAAAATCAGATAGCACAAGGACCGTTTTGTAATTTACTCTAACTTACAGTGTTATTTCCAAACAGCTCCTCGATTTTGGTCCTTATTTCACAGTCCCAAAGACCAAAATTGATATGAAACTCGGAAATAAGGACCAAAACTGAAAAAGGTTTCAGTTTTGGACTAAACACAGTAAAAATCAGAAAGCACAAGGACTATTTTTGTAATTTACTCTAACATAAGTTGTTTTTCCCAGTTACTTGATTTGGTCCTTATATTAAAGTTTCAGACCCAAAAATCAACATGAAAAATTGAAAAACGTTTCTATTTTGGACTAAACACGGGAAAAATCCAAAACCACAGGGACCATTTCTGTAATTTACTCTAACCTAAGGTGTTTTTCCGAAACAGTTACTCAACAATTGCATGGACAGCTTCTGTGAATAAGGGAATGCAAGAAAATGTGGAATACGGGTACAATGGCAAGACCCCATCAGAAACAACATTCAATTTTCTTTCAGCTTTGGGTGACGTGGCATTTGCATATGCGGGACATAATGTTGTGCTTGAGATCCAGGCAACAATTCCTTCAACACCCGAAAAGCCTTCAAAGGGACCCATGTGGAAGGGGGTGGTGGTGGCTTATGTGGTGGTGGCTTTGTGCTATTTTCCGGTGGCTTTTCTTGGATATTATATGTTTGGAAATCAAGTCGCGGATAATATTTTAGTTTCACTACATAAGCCTAAATGGCTTATTGCTGCTGCTAACTTGTTTGTGGTTATCCATGTCATCGGTAGTTATCAGGTATTTCTTTACTCGATATAAATGTTGTTACATATTGCTATTATTGGTAAAGAAATGTGTAAGTACTTTGTTATTATGTGTAAACAAAATGTAAATATGTTGGTTTATGGATTTAAAAAGAAAAGGGTAAATGGAACAACAAACACTATGTTTTCACTTTTTTTTTTTTCGATTTTGACACTACGTTATTTTTTTTTTTTAAATTGAACATTGTATTTTCTAATTGTGTTCAATGTTGACCTTTTCATTTCCATTCAATGGCACAAAAGACAGCTATGTATTTATTTATTTTTTCGATTTTGACATTGCATTTTCCAACTCAGCATGGCAAACCGGGTATCCGGTGAAATGGTCAAAATTGGTCAAAATTGGAACATACGATGTTCGATTTGGAACAAAAAATAATGCAGTGTCAAAATAAAAAGTAATAAAAAAAGGGAAAACATAGTGCCTTTTATATCATTTGCCCTAAAAAATGTAAGAATGTTGTTATGGGTAAATAAAATGTAAGTATATTGCTACTATAGGTGAAAAATATAATACATTGTATATATCGGTAAAATGAGTAAAAGGATGTTTTGCCATTTTTTTTTTACATTTTTCTAATAGCAATGTATTTTCATTTTTCTACATGCTAACAAAGTTTTGAGTTTGTATAGATATACGCAATGCCGGTTTTTGACATGATGGAAACCTTGTTGGTGAAAAAATTGAAATTCAAACCAACTTGGATCTTGCGATTTTGTACGCGTAATATCTACGTAGGTTAGTATAGTACAATTCTATTTCAAGGCAAAAATGTTGTTATGAATTTATCTATTTTAAAGAATCATTTACCAATCTTTTTTTTTTTTTTTGGATTTCAGCATTCACAATGTTTGTTGCTATAACCTTCCCTTTCTTTGGAGGTCTCCTTGGATTTTTCGGAGGCTTAGCCTTTGCCCCCACAACTTATTTTGTAAGAATATCTTTCGAGTTATATAAACATCCAAATTTTCTTCAATTTCTTAAAAATCCAACTATTTATTGTTGTGTTGACTTTTTGACTTTTTGATTTCTTAAGCTTCCATGCATAATGTGGCTTGCCATCTGTAAACCAAAGAGGTTCAGCTTGTCTTGGTGCACTAATTGGGTAGGTTTTATCTTTTAACCCCATACATTATTTGTTTTTTATAAAATAAAATGAAATCTAAACTAACATTTTAATTTTCAGATTTGCATTTTTCTTGGTCTATGTTTGATGATTCTATCACCTATTGGAGGACTTTATAATATCATTAAACAAGCCAAGGATTATAAGTTCTATAGTTGATCATTATCACTCAGTGTAAAAGTGGAAGAAAGCAAAATAATAGGCAACAGAACCCATATAACAAGGGGATTTGTGTGATTTTCTTTTCTTTTTTTCTTCTTTTTTCTGTTTATTATTCATTCTTATATGTTCTATGTGTTCTACAATATTTGTAACATATCATGAATAAGATTCTCAGTTTTATTTCAGAAAGAGTGACTATTGATTTATGATTCTCTTTAATATATATCCGATGAACATTAGTACATTACAATATATATATCCCAAGTCAGAATTAATTCATTCCGTTTTCTATGTACTTTTCTTCTCCTTCTCAAGCTTAAACATTCTTTCTCTATACAACTCGATCCAAAGATTAGAAATCCAAAGTACACTAACGGAAATAGCCATGACAACAACACAAATCCAAGAAACCCAAAGCCATTTGGGAATAACATTATCAGCAACCCCACTCGCATAGAAAACAACCATTTTGTAAACAAATAAAGGTCCAGCAAAACCTCTAACAGCAGAATATAGCACATAAAATGGAGGAGACAAAAGATCAAACACCTGGCGTGCAGTTTCAGAATCCTGCCTTCGAGCACTTGCCAGCGTCCAAACGTTCTGAAAGAAGCTCGTGATCTCCGCCAAGGCAAGTAAAATCAGCACCGCGTATGCTCCGTGAAGAACTAGATATCGACAGGTAACGAAAACGAAAAGGGTAGCTAAATGATGACCGATGAAGAGGATATCGGTTGGGTAGAAGGTTAAATAGTGGCAAAGATCCATTAAGAAGTAAGCAATGCTGTATTCAAGAACGGTATTCTGAAAATGAGTGTTGATCGTGGCGAACCCAGTTGTGGAATCGGCGAGGATGGCGAGACAAGCAAGGATCACGGCCGGGGTGCCATGGGCAAGTGAGATTAAGCAGCTGGCGGCTTCAGGGCGGAGCTTCGGACTCCAATTACGGAAGACGATGAAGTGGGCAGTCAAGTAAATCGCAAAATACATTGCGAAGAAGAGAGGTAGACTTGACATAGAAGAAATTAGGCTCGGGGAATCCATCGTTAAATTCGCCCAAATTCGATGTTGTTTGGATCCTAATTCACGAAATTAGATGGGGTTGGTTTGATTGTATGGAGGAGATTGTGGAATCAAAAACCCATATTGAATGAATTTATAGATGTGTCGCGTGATCAAGAGGTGGAAGAAGATCGAGTTGATTAGTCAGCCCGCCGCCAAACCCAACCCTCGGTCAAAATTAAAAGCTGTTGCATTATCCATTAAGACGCAGTCGCTGTCAACAAGTTTACTGGTTGAAAAAGGTGAAATGGGTGGCGATAGTCGGATACAATCAATGAATATGCTAAAGGATTCGAGGTTTTTGTCATTATTGAATGTTCTACGAGTTAAATTAGGGATGACAAAAAAACCCGAACCCGACAGGAAACCCGATCATTTCAGGTCGGGTAACGGATCGTTATCGGGTTTTTTATCGGGTTTGGGGCAGAGAGTGGGTTATCCTCGCTCCGCTCCGCCCCGTCCCGATTATATATATATATATAATATGTTCAAAAAATTTTACTGTTAATTGTACACGTTCAAATATAAAATACTTATCGTGGACAATTTTTTTAGTTATTAACAATCTGGTGTTAGTGATCATTTTTATGTGTTTTGACGTATTAAACAAAACTTAAATCAAATAATTTTTTATATAACGTCCAGTTTATTTTATTAAAGTGATGCATCATGTTTTTAATTTAAAAGAGTTGCTAGAACATGTATATTTTATAAGACATTGGGGTACCCTAAAAGAGAATAAAGATTTCGTTATCAGTTGTTGTAAACCCGATAAGATACCCGAAACCCGACGGGGAAACCCGAAACCCAATGGGGCGCCCCGATAAGATACCCGAAAGTTATCGGGGCGGGTTTGGGAATCCATGCCCCGCCCCGAACCCGCCCTATTGTCATTCCTAAGTTAAATCATGTTCGAGTTATGTTGAAAAAATGATTTTAAACACACTGTTATTGATACAAGAATGTTAATAAGAAGATGCTCAACTACTTTTCGTACATCGGATCTTACAAAAATGACAAATTACCTGCTAAAATTAGGATTTCTTTATTTTATTATCAGTTACCTGGTTCGTCAACGAAAGTCATATGTGACATGGTCTATGGAATCCAGCTAAGTGTCTGGTCAATGTACTACATAAGCTTCATAAGGGTTCAATAGATCCACTCTCACAAATTTCTAACCCTCCGACGAACACCAACCCTTTCGATGATGTCTTCCTCCTCAGAATCCTATAACACCGTCGTCATTTATCGTGTTGAAATGAATCATTTATGCTTGTTTCGCGATCAGTGTCGAAGCTCAGAGAAGCCTGCAAGCCTAACAACATAGGTCGTTGCTTCTACAATTACGCAAAATCAATGGTAAGCTATCATTCGTTTACATTCGATAGCTTTTACCCCTAAAGTTGTGATTTGTCTACTGTAAATCCCCATTTCGATCGACAAAAACCTCACTTACAATGAGAAAACCCTAAATTATGAACAATAAACCCTTTTTCTGGTGTGGTGATTTGTTTTTTAGATATCCAATGATAATTGCAACTTATTCTAGTGGCTTGGCCCAACATTACAAGGATATGTTATGGAACATGAAACTTAAGACCGACGACCTTTTGGTTAGGAATGCTCAAGTTGGTGAGATGCAGAAGAAGGTTGAGAAGCATTAGCTTCTTAGGAAAGTCAGGAAGGAACTTGGTGAGGCTAGGATCCAGGAACTACTCACTGAGATTTAAAGTCTTAAGAAGATGTTGAAAAAGGTTATTTTGATTGCTCTGGTATGTTTGTTGTTTATGGTCATGTACTGTAAGTTGGTCTAGGTGATGTAGGATGTTGCGTCATGGTGTATAGGTGGTTTTTGGGTTATGGTGTATAGGTGGTTTTTGGGTCATGGTGCTTATGTGAATGCTCTTTTGGGTGATTAGGTATTTGGCAATCAAGTTAAAGTTGTGTTAGGTGATGCAGGGTGTATAAGGTTGTTTGATGGTATAATGGGGGTATATGGAATGATGATCCTTTTGACAATTTAGTATAGGCATTATACTTTTAGCTCCATTATATATGGTCATGTAACATCTTTTGTATGGACTAACTATGTCACACCCCAACCAACGGCAGAAACGCCAGGGTTGAGACTAAACATATTGGATCACAATTAAACAACATATATTGACCAATACCAGGATTTATATAACATTACATTCTTCCAAAATTTCGAACATGAAGAAATACATTGTTTAATAAATCTATAAGCATTACACGTGGAATATAAGTTCCTACAAAACGTAAAAGAGACAAAAGGCTACTACAAAGGCAACTATTATTAATGAAATCAAATTCTTCATTCTCACATCGGGTGTGTGTTCTTCCGGCCACTTTAGATACCTAGAGATACATACATTTTTAAAAATACATCCACAATAATGTTAGTGAGCTTTATACGTTTTATTTTGACTCCAAACATTTTTAATAGATCCAAACACTTTTAAAACCGGTGATTTATAAAAGAATACATTTTTACTATTCAAGTAATTTTTATTTTCATTCCAACAAATAAGTTCAGTTTTTCTGCATAACTTGTTAATTAAGTTATATTTTATAATCAGAAATTATGTCATAACAACGGTTTAGTTATCCAAATGAATTAAATTTAGACACTTAACCAATTTGAAACGATTATTTCGTTGTAGTCTTACATTTTTCTAAAATATGGTTCTTGGTTCTAAGGTGAGCCTATAACCGACAATATTAACGCTCCTGCCCCGTAAGAGCACAAGAAATTGAGGCATTTGGATCATTACTAATGCTTTGAATAGTCATGTAGTAACAAAGAAAGAACACTTGACGCTTGTTTGGTCTCGTCAGATGAAGTTGTAGCCAACAAACACAGACAGAGAATATCGACCCACATAAACCTTTACCATACATAATAGATCTACACCAAAGTTCTTTATTATAAACCTATGTTGTGCACTTAGATTTACACTATAAATCCCTCTCAGATGAACGTTTATAGCGCTAGTGTTGGTTCTAGGAGTTTGATCCTAAAGAGCGACATGTATCACAACATAAGTCTCACCTTCAACAAATCTAGGATTCAACACACAAGATCCAGTCTCAAACTCGCACGACAATTTTATAGACTAACCAACTCACATATCACACGAGGGACATCAAGCTCTAATCTTAAATGTTTGAATTTCTTAAAACTTAGAGTTTTAGCTTTATTATGAGTTTAACTCAAAGTTTGGATAGCGTGACGGGTGCGTTTTGAATAATTCTATGTTTTAAACCAATTGTAAAATCATCCAAATCATACGATTTAAAACACAAATATACGAGTAGACGATTATTAATCTATCCTTTTAATAATTCACTATAACACACACATTAGGCATCACATATGTTCAAACACACTTTATATAAGAACTTTTTATGACATTTTTAGTCATTACTTTATATAAAACCCATTTAAAACATTTTTATTTTATATTTTTCTTTTTGACTTTTAATTATATAAAGCTCATTTTTTGCATAACTTCACAATTCTTTTTATAAGCAACTCATATTTTAACCATTATGAGTATTAATGCTTTATAAAAGTACTTTAGACACTCATTTTAACGAAAAGTATGTATGTAATTTAATGCTGACCTCTAAACTTTACAAAAGTTAGTTGTTTTTCTAACATTTAGTTATTATCATATAACATATCACAAACATAGTGAAAGAGATTTCATGTCTTGATTTATTTCATTAAATCAAGAATAAGCATGTAATACCTTAAAAGAACTTAAATGGTAAGTCATTCGATGCACATATTCAGTAGTTATTTCATGCAAATACAAGACCCTCGTCAACTATATTCACTACTATTTTAACACATTATTCATTTAGACTCCATCATCAAAATCATTATCATATAGAGATGACTAGTTATACACATAACTCCAAATAATGAACACACATCTATGACAAACTTCCATCATAATATAGCAAGTATGTATCCCCCCCCCCCCCCCAAAGTGATTATAAAACAGAAAATGGGTCCATAAATACTCACCCTTGAAGCGTGTTCTTGCTCAGGTTTCGCTTGTCTTTCCAAAAAGCTTTCGTTTCAAACTTCAGCTAATCACTAATCGAGACTCGGACCGCTTTTGGTGAATAGATATAGAGAGGTAGATCGAGAGATGCTCTTGACCAGTTGTGAGATAACAGAAAATAGAAGATCACGCAACAGTTTGTTGTCGCCGACAGAAGGTGGCAAGGCTGCTCTGGCAGCTTCCTGTTTCCTGTAATACTAGTAGCACAAGCAAGGGAGGGAGAGGAAAGTAGCAGCGACCGAAGCTATTTCAGGGGTCGTTTGGATTTATTGTTTGACGGGAAACAGAAGAGAAGGAATGAGGAGATGGTTGCTTCTCTTGGCTCGCCGGAAACCACCAGTAAAACACCTCCGGGTGGGGGTGTTCTTGTTGGACCACGAAAATAGAACACAAAGAGATAGGAAAGTGTTTTGGAAGAAAGTGTTTGTGTTAAGCCACAAATGAGGAAAACCTTGGGATTTTAAACAAATTTGGGCATCCAGATCCGTTCCATGAAATATCGCGTTCCGTCATCCCTAATCTCGAATTGTTTATCCATTCCTTACAGGGCTTCGCCTATGGTGTTCTCTTCTTTTACAGCTTCGAGCTGAGATTCTCGTATATATGTACTTAGATTGGAATATATGGTCATGGTAAATTCACGTATACTCCTGGGTTTCACATGCTCTTTACAACTCAGGGCATCTGCCACTACATTAGCATTTCTAGGATGATAACGAATTTCACAGTCATAATCATTTAGCAGCTCAAACCATCTTCACTGCCTCATATTGAGTTTCTTTTGGTTAAAGATATATTGGAGACTCTTGTGATCTATAAAAATAGTACATTGGGTACCATACAACTAGTGTCTCCAAATATTTAGGGTGAAAACCACAGATCCTGGCTCAAGGTCATGAGTAGTGTAGTTAATCTCGTGCACCTTTAGTTATAGCGAAGTGTAAGTAATCACCTTGTCTCTCTACATTAATACACAACTCGTTCATTGATGATATGTGTCGCAGTAGAAGACTAATTCTTATGTTCCATCAAGGAGTGACAGGATCAGTGCACTACATAACATGTGTTTCAAATTATAGAATGCAGCTTCCTGCTTGTTTTCCCGATTGAACTTCACATCCTTCTATGTTAATGTAGTGAGGGGCTTGGATGTTTTGGAGAAATTTTCAATAAATCTTTGATAGTAGCTACTAAGGCCTATGAATTGGTGCACTTCAGTTGGCGTCCTTGGTGCTTCCTAATTCTTGTTTGCTTCGATTTTTGTGGTATCCACATGTATTCCTTTATTGCTAATGAAATGCCCTAAGAAATGTACTTCTCTTATCCAAAATTCACATTTGGAAAATTTTGCATATAATTTCTCCTTTCTCAATAGTTCCAATATTAACCGTAAGTGTTGGTCGTGTTCCTCCTTTTTTTATGAGTATATCAGGATTTCATCAATGAATACAATCATGAATTTATCCAAGTAAGGCTTGCGAACACGGATCATGAGATCCATGAACACTATTGGGTATTCGTTAGGCTGACAAGCATGACAAGAAACTTGTAGTGGCCATACCGAGTCTTGAATGTCGTCTTTGGAACATTTGCTTCCAATACCTTGAGTTGATGATATCCAAGCCTCGGGTCAATCTTGGAGTAGTAGCTAGACCTTTGCAGTTGATCAAACAAGTCATCGATTCTTAGGGGTGGGTAACGGTTCTTTATTGTCAACTTATTTAGTTCCCAGTAATCGATATACATTTAGAATGAGCTGTCCTTCTTTTTGACGAATAGTATTAGGGCTCCCCAAGGTGAGAAACTTGGACTTAGCTACTGGTGCGGCGCCTGGGATTAGGTCAATTCTAAATTTGACTTGTCGGTTTGGGGATAATCTAAGTAGATCCTCAGGAAAGTCACATACTTGTGGTATGTCTTTTAATTCTTTTGTTTAGCTCTTCTTATCCACTATGTGAGCCAGAAAGGCATAACATTTCTTATGTAGATATTTCTGAGCCTTTGTGCAAGAGATGAGTTTTAGGTTTTGTCCCGACTTGTCCCTATAAATGATCATGATCTCTCCATTGGGTAAGGTTAATTATACGACCTTCTCATAGCACAAAATCTCGGTGTGGTGAGGAGCAACCAAATCCTTTCCTATGATAATTTCAAATCTTCTGATAGGAATAGGCATAAGATCTATATGGAAAGTATGGTCGTTTAGTTACATGTTTTACTTCCCGAATAATTGGATTGTTCAAACATCCACATTCGATCATACATTTAGAAGTAAGTAGTGAATCAAGATTGTCATGAATTGAATTGTAGATTATCTAAAGGGTTTTGGACATAGAAATGGTATTGTTGCAATATTCGTGAGTACATTGAAATAGAGAATTTAGGTATTGGGTTAACCCATGCTCAGAGAGTTACTTCATGGAATTTATCACGAGTAATTCTGAGATGATAATATCTTATAACAGATCAGCCAAATGTAAGTCAAAATGAAATAAAAAGACCTAACAGACCGGCCAAACATTTAAATAATAAAATGGATAATTCCATGACACACAGGGTGTGCCGTC